TCCACTGCATTCAACCCTTAGCCTCATCCTATAGCCTCTTGGTGATGTGTAGAAGTCCGAGCTATTCCAAAACTTGTTCTGAGTCTTTTTCTGTAAGAACTCCGTCAGCCTAAACACTTTGCTGTTGATTGTTTTCAGTTCTAACTTTTCGATTTTCCTCACTGCTAGCTGAAGGTGTTCCTCTACTGATTCCCTGCTATGTTCCTCCTTCTCCTCCCTCTTCATCTTTCTATTGCAACCAATGTTACTGTATTCACATGCTACAATAGCTTTAGGGCAGGTCATGTGGTGTGCTGCTTGCAAACGCCTTGGTATAACCTCCTCACACTCATCATTATTGCATCTGACTGGGTAGTTGGGACACTTGTTAAGATGATTGTTACTAGTCATCAATTGACGTGAGCCCTCCCTCTGACAGTGCTGACACTTGACTAGACTTCTTTGACAATCATCTGTCACATGTGCTTCCATTTCTATTCTCTGTACCATCGCTCCACATCCATTAGTACAGGGTACCTGTTGATAGGGACAGCTAATGCTAAGATGAGTATCAATATCCTTAATAGCTCCCATCCATTGGCACCCACTATCAGTGTTAGTGCAATAGATCTCCAATGACTTTATCCCTTGCTCTGCTCTCATATCTTCAAAATATTTCCCAGTTAGTTGCTTATTGCAGTCAGGGCAAGTTAGTTTCTGTCTCTTCTTTTTTGAGCTCTCCAGACAGCTCTTGCAGTATATCTTACCACAGCAGGTGACTTGTTGAGGATCCCTTGCCACTAATGTGCATATGTGGCATTGATACTCTTGGGATGTCTCCCCATCAGTGAATGTGTACCTATAGCCTCCTTGTGCTCCTACTTCTGTAGCCATTTATCCTCTGGTCATGTGAGTATGTTAAGGTACACCCCTTCTGGTTCTCATTGAATTGTGTGGGGTGTGTTTATATAGCTATAGTATGTTTGTAGTGTTTGTGTCTGTGTTTTGTGTTAGAATATCTGATTTGATTAACCATAATTAGAAATTTGAACCATTTACTCTATTATCTATGCTTGAATATAGGTTATACACCGAGGTAGAGGTTTCTATGGTATTTATTAACCGAGCGACGCAGTCGCAAGGTTAAAGGGACACATGCACGGAAGCACGTCATCTTGAAAAACTGGCCCGTTTT